AAGCTTATATGATTGATTCAGATCTGCCTTACTTTCTAATACATGCATTCAATGCTATAAATTTCCCACTAAGCACTGCTTTTGTTTCATTCCACAAGTTTTCATAATTTACACTGTCATTTTCATTAAGTTTAAAATATTTTAAAATTTCTCTTGAAACATCTGCTTTAATCCATGCTATTTAGAAATGCATTGTTTAATATCCATATATTTGGGAATTTTCAGTTGTCTCTCTGTTCTTCATTTCTAGTTTAATACCTCACTATGATCTGAGAGAAGACATGGGATAACTTCTGTGATTTTTACATTTATTAAAGTATGTTTAATGGTCCAGAATGTGGGTTAGCTTGTGAATGCTCTCTGTGAGCTTCAGAAGAATGTACACTCTATTGTTGAATAAGTAGTCTATAGATACCAATTACATCCAGCTGATAAATGGTATGCGAGGGCCTTACTGACTTTGTGCCTGTTAGATGTATCCACTATCTACATGAGGGTATTAAAGCCCCCCACTGTGATAGTGAATTCATCTACTTCTTGTAATTCTATTAGTTTTTGTCACATGCAGTCTGACACTCTGTCATTAGGTATATATACATTAAGGATTATTATGTCTTCTTGGAGAACTGACCTCTTTTTCATAATGATAATCTTTATCCCTGATAATCTTCCTTGAAGTCTGCTCTGTCTGAAATTATTATAGCTACTGTTGCTTTCCTTTAGTGTTAGCATGCTATATTTTCCTCTATCCATTTTCTTTTTCTAACACTTTTACTGAAGTATAGTTGATGTATAACATGTTATAGGTGGGCAAGAATCCCTCAGAAGGAATGGAGTAGTCTTCAAAGTCAACAGAAGAGTCCGAAATGCAGTACTTAGGGGTAACCTCAAAAATTACAGAATGATCTTGGTTCATTTCCAAAGTAAACCATTCAACATTACAGTAATCCAAGTCTATGCCCCAACCACTAATGCTGAAGAAGATGAAGTCGAACAGTTTCATGAAGACCTACAAGTCCTTCTAGAACTAACACCAAAAAAAGATGTCCTTTTCATCACAAGGACTGGAATGTAAAAATAGGAAGCCAAGAGACACCTAGAGTAACAGGCAAGTTTGGCCTTGGAATACAAAATGAAGTAGGACAAAGGCTAACAGAGTTTTGCCAAAAGAACACACTGGTCATAGCAAACATCCTCTTCCAACAACATAAGAAATGCCTCTACACATGGCCAACACCAGATGGTCAATATCGAAATCAGATTGATTATGTTCTTTGCAGCCAAAGAAGGAGAAGCACTAAACAGTCAGCAAAAACAAAACCTGGAGTTTACTGTGGCTCAGATCATCAGCTCCTTGCTGCAAAATTCGGGCTCAAATTGAAGAAAGCAGGGAAAACCACTAGGCCATTCATCTATGACCTAAATCAAATCCCTTATGATTATACAGTGGAGGTGACAAATAGATTCAAGAGATTAGATCTGGTAGACAAGAATGCCTGAGGAAGTATGGATGGAGGTTCGGAACATTGTTTATAGAAGGTGGTGACCAGAACTATCCCCATGAAAAAGAAATGCAAGAAGGCAAAATGATTGTCTGAAGAGGCCATACAAATAACTGGGAAAAGAGCAGTGAAAAGCAAAGGAGAAAGGGAAAGATATACCCAACTGAATGCAAAGTTCCAGAGAATAGTAAGGAGGGAAAAAAAGCCTTCTTAAATGAACAATGAAAAGAAACAGAGGCAAACAACAGAAAGACTAGAGATCTCTTCAAGATGGAGATACCAAGGGACCATTTCATGCAAAGATGGGCTCAATAAAAGACAGAAACAGCAAGGAGCTAACAGAAGCAGAAGACATTAAGAAGAGGTGGCAAGGATACACAGAAGAACTGTACAAAAAAGGTCTTAACGACCTGGATAACCACAATGGTGTGGTCACTCACCTAGAGCCAGACATCACGGAGTGTGAAGTCAAGCGGACCTTAGGAAGCATTACTACAAATAAAGCTAGTGGAGGTGATGGGATTCTAGCTGAGTTATTTCAAATCCTAAAAGATGATGCTTTAATAGCACTTTAACAGAGCTTCACTCAATATGCTGGTAAATTTGGAAAACGCAGCAGCGGCCACAGGACTGGAAAAGGTCAATTTCCATTCCAAACCCAAAGAGAAGAGCAACGCCAAAGAATGTTCAAATTATCGTACAGTTGCACTCATTTCACATGCTAGCAAGATTATGCTCAAAATCCTTCAAGCTAGGCTTTATCAGCACGTGAACCAAGAACTTACAGATTGAGGGCAGGAGAAGTGGGTGACAGAGGATGAGATGGTTGGATGGCATCACTGACTCAATGGACATGAGTTTGAGCAAACTCAAGGAGATAGTGAAGGGACAGTGAAGCCTGGAGTGCTGTAGCCCATGGGGTTACAAACAGTTGGACACAACTTAGCAAAGGAACAACAAGAAACACAATATAGTATTTCACAATTTTTAGATGTTATATTCCATTTATAGTTATAAAATATTGGCTATAGTTCCTGTGTTGTATATCTGTGTAGCTTATTTTATATAATATATATTATAGTTTGTATCTCCTAATCCCCTATTCCTATATTGTCCTTCCCTTTTTCCTTTCCCCACTGCTAACCATCAGTTTGTACCCTAAATCTGTGAATCTATTTCTTTTTTGTTACATCCCCTAGTTTGTTGTATCTTTTAGACTCCACAAATAAAGTAATATCATACAGCATTTGTCTTTTGCTAACTTCACTTAGCATATTTTCTAAATCATCCATGTTGTTCCAATTGGAAAAATTTCATTCTTTTTTATGGCTAATAGTCCACTGCGTATATAAACCACATTTTCTTTATCTATTCATTTGTTGATGGACACGTGAGTTGCCTCCATATTTTGGCAATGGTGAATAATGCTGCTATGAACATTGGGGTGCATGTATCTTTTCAAAATAGTGGGGTTTTTTTCAGACATATACCCAGGAATGGAATCGTTGGATTATCTGTTTGTTCTATTTTTAGTTTTTGAGGACCCTCCATACTATTTTCCACAGTGACTGCACCAACTTACATTCCCACCAACAGCAGATGAAGATTCCCTTTTCTCCACATCCTTGCCAACATTTGTTATTCATGTTCTTTTTGAAGACAGTCATTCTGACAGGTATGAAATAATACCTCCTTATGGTTTTGATGGATTAGCCATGTTGAACATCTTTTCATGTGCCTATTGGCCATCTGCATGTCCTCTTTGGCAAAATGTCTATTCAGGTCTTCTGCACATTTTGTAATCGGGTTGTTTGGGATTTTTTTACGTTGAATTGTATGAGCTGTTTATATATTTTGGATATTAACTCTTTATGGGTCATATCATTTGCCAATATTTTCTCCCATTCAGTGGGCTATCTTTTCACACTGTCAATGGTTTCCCTTACTGTGCAAAACCTTTTAAGTTTAATTATGTTCTATTTATTTTTGCTTTTATTTCCTTTGCTTTAGGAGACTGATCCCCCAAAATATTGCTAAAATAAGCAAAGCATCTTTCCTACATCCATATAAGAGCCAAAGGAATCCACACATTGTCTTAAAAAATTTGAGAAGAAACTGGAATCATAACTGACACTTATATTGAGGATTACAGAGCTTTGATAACATATATCCTATTTATAAGATGCTGTATCATTAAGAGTAACTATACCTTTTAAATGCATGTTTGAAAGTCCATACCTATTTAACTCTCTATTCAGAAATCTGAGGCCTTAAAAAAGGTTTATATTTTCATTCACTTCATGAATACCTTGGATTTTCTTCTCTTATAGAAACATTAAGTTATATTGACATGGGAAAGAGTATAGCAAAAATTAGTTTTTTAATGGGACACTTTACCAAACCTGCTATCTTGCCCTAAAACAAAAGACCAGGGAGCTGCACAATAATCCCAGGTTCAGCTCTTGTCCTTTACTTTCTTTCCACCTTGGTTCACATTTCTTTCTGGGACAGACAGCATGTTGTATGTATCTTTGTATAGCACACTGCCTTGTGTCAATTAGATGATTAAATTATAAATTCTACTATTAAAAAATATTTTCACTGATTGGTTTTCTTGATGAAACGTTGAAGAACTGTTGTCAAATAAGTACATTTCAGAGAAGCAAAAGAGAACATTTAGAGCTCTTTCAACTTTCATTTTTACCATAACTCATAATAAGAAATACACTATATACCATAACCATTATATACCTATGAACATATACATTTATCTATTTAATACAAAAGTTATAAGCAAAAACACAACTACCCTCAATACGTCTGATGCTTTTTTTTTTCTTTTTATTGTAGTGGTTTTTGTCTTACATTGACATGAATTAGCCATGGATTTACATGTATTCCCCATCCCGGTCCCCCCTCCCACCTCCCTCTCCACCCGATCCCTCTGGGTCTTCCCAGTGCACCAGGTCCGAGCACTTGTCTCATGCATCCAACCTGGACTGGCTATCTGTTTCACCCTAGATAATATACATGTTTCAATGTTGTTCTCTTGAAACATCCCACCCTCGCCTTCTTCCACAGAGTCCAAAAGTCTGTTCTATACATCTGTGTCTCTTTTTCTGTTTTGCATATAGGGTTATCGTTACCATCTTTCTAAATTCCATATATATGTGCTAGTATACTGTAATGGTCTTTATCTTTCTGGCTTACTTCACTCTGTATAATGGGATCCAGTTTCATCCATCTCATTAGAACTGATTCAAATGAATTCTTTTTAATGGCTGAGTAATATTCCATGGTGTATATATGTCTGATGCTCTTGTCTATTTTCTATTTTGTTTTTTAAAATGCTGCTAATGACCACTAGAAAATGTTCTAATGGTTTATGATCCATTCTTTAAAAATAATGATTCAGAGAACTATCTTCTAGAAACAAATATGGAAGCAAATAATAAATAAAGTAAACTGGAAAAAAGTTTTAAAATAACGCTTACTTACCTGGTTGATGCAAAAACAACACTGAGTGGCATCTGCTGATAAAATGGAAGGAAAGGCCTGGGGAAGAAAGGAAATCACAAACGTGGGACTTTTGCATTGTGTGCTTGCTGAGTTTTCTACTACTTCCAATATTTGTCCCTTAAAATCAGTGAGTTTGAATACTTTGTGTATCAGCAATTCTCAAACTTTGGCACATACAAAATCACTGGGGAGTGGGAAGATTCATGTTTAAAATTCAAAACCACAGGTCTAGCCCAGCAGACTCAGTGGATACAAGGTAGAGCCAATTAATCTGCATCTGTAATAAACATCCCCATGTGTTTGCTGCAGATGGAAAACAAGCCACACCTGAGAAACAGTGCCCTACACTTAGGCTCCAGCTGGTCATTAGTTCCCAGCAGCTTCTCAAGTTCCCTGAGATATTCTGAAATCTCCAATGATTTACTTTAAACATCCCCCCCACCCCGAAAGTCTAGAAACTGAGTATACTATGTAAAGAATTTAACATTTCTCTGAAAAACTCAGCATCATAAAACATCCATAAGGAGGTTGTTCATAAATAATGTGCATTACAAATTTACTTTCTCAAATGAACTTATGTACGTATGACATCAAGTCTATTTTGCTAACTCAGGTAGGACCCTGAAGGAAATCCTCATCTTATTTTTATCTAATCTGAGTGTATGATTATTATACGTGTGTATTCATCACGAACGAAACAAGGTGAATCTTTTGACTATGTTGGTTTTGGTAACATTTACACAAAGACAGCAAATGTCACCTATCTGCCCTCTTTTAACACTTTTCCCTGCACTATAGCTGTCATGGTGTCTTTGCTCTGTCTCACTTTATTTGATGACTTCATTTTGTTCTCAAAGATACATTCTTATTTGCAATTAGTATCTCTAAGCTCAAGCAGACTTAGTTGGAATCCCAGCTCTACACTTGATAATTTATAATAAAGTAACCTTGAGCAATTTACTTCTCCTCTTTTGGTCTCAGCTTCCTAACTGTAAAATGGGGATGATATATCCTATCCTATATTTCTGTTCTGAAAATTGATGTTATATATGTAAAGCACTTATAAAGTGATACCTGGCATATTGCATGACTTAAATATGAGAGCTTCTATCATTATTACAAAGAGGTCTCTGATAACATTAGGGCTCATATTCATCAGTAATTATTTCCTACCTTTCAAAATATTTATAGCGATTCTTTCCAGTAACATCAGGATCTTCATAAACTTCTTGAGGCATCTGAAAAGCAGCATCAATTCTAAAACAAAGCAGGAAAACATTATTCAAGTCAAACATATTATTTCCAAATATAATTTTTATTTCATATTCATTCTCAGTTGCTAAATCGTGTCTGATTCTTTGTGATCCCAGGGACTATACCCCACCAGGTTCCTCTGTCCATGGAGTTTTCCAGGCAAGAATACTGGAGTGGTTGCCACTTTTTAACCGGGGAATTTTCCCATCCCAGGGATCGAACCCATGTCTCTTGCATCTCCTGCATTGGCAGACAGATTCTTTACCACTAGCACCACCAGGGAAGCCCCTATCTCATATTTCTATATCTATAAAGTAGGAGATCCACAGATACACCTGAGACTGAGAGCAAAGTCTTCTATAACATGTCTTACTGTCCTACATCTCAGACTTCAACAATTACTTCTCCTGAGCCAGGAAACCAGGAGCCAACAAGAGGAACTGAAAGCTAATAAATGAGTAAAGTTATGAAACTCCACATACAAAAATGCTCATTTTTAGTTAACAGTGCATGAGAATTACAAAATTTAAAAAAACAAATTTTTATGTCTAGGCTGTAAGGTAGCATTTTAAAAGAAATTTACTATGTATGAACTTGTAAACATTCTTTAAACGAATAAGGGATTTGACAGACCTGTCACTGAAGGTGCTTTGGTTGCAGGTCTCCAAAAAGTATACTTGGATACTAGCAGAAAAGTACACTTGCAATTTCTAAGATAGATCACAGAAACTACAGATGCAGTCACCTCTACCTTCGGTGGTAAGCTATCATGTAATATATACTATAACCTTTGGAGAACACCTATTAGGTTGGTGCAAAAGTAACTGTCGTTTTGCACTGTTGAACTTAGCCATTTGATACTGGAAATGTGGTTATGTTATACATCATTTTAATGCTCATTTCTTGTTTTATATTTTCTTTTGCTAATGACATCACTTTCTGTTTATTTTATATTTATTTTAGACTGCAGAAATGATGTTAAACGAAAAGTAAATTCAAGCAATTTTCTTATTCAAGTTCAAAATGGGTCATAAAGCAGGGCAGGAAACTAGCAACATCAACAATGCATTTGGCCCAGAACTTGCTAAAAAACATATAGTGCAGTGGTGATTAAAGAAGTTTTGCAAAGGATACAAGAGCCTTGAAGATGAGGAGCATAGTGGCAGGTCATCCGGAGTTGACAATGATCAATTGAGAGCCAGCATGGAAACTGATCCTCATACAACTACATAAGTAGCTGCCAAAGAACTCAATGTCAACCTTTCTACAGCCATTTGGCATTTGAAGCAAATTGGAAATGTGAAGAAGCTTGATAACGGTGCTTCATGAACTGACTGCAAATCAAAAAAACCACTGTTTTGAAATGTCATCTCTTATTCTACACAACACTGAACCACTTCTCGATCGGATTATGACATGTGACAAAAAGTAGATTTTATAAAACTGGCAACAACTAGCTCAGTGATTGGACAGAGAAGCAGCTCCAAAAACACTTCCCCAAACCAAACGTGCACCAAAAAAAGGTCATGGTCATTGTTTTGGTGATCTGCTGTCTGTCTGATCTATCACATTTTTCTGAATCCCAGCAAGACTATTACATCTGAGAAGTATGCTCAGCAAATCAATGAAATGCACCAAAAACTGCAATACCTGCAGCCACTATTCGTCAACAGAGTGGACCCAATTCTTCTCCACAATGCCTGACTGCAAGTTGCACAGCCAGTGCTCCAAAAGTTGAACAAATTGGGCTACAAAGTTTTGCCTCATTTGCCATATTTACCTGATCTCTCACCAACAAACTACCACTTCTTCAAGAATTTCAACAACTTTTTACCAGGAAAACGCTTCCACAACCAGCAGAAGGCAGAAAATGCTTTCCAAGAGTTCATCAAATCCTGAAACTTGTATTTTTATGCTACAGGAACAAACCAACTCATTTCTCATTGGCAAAGATGTATTGACTGTAATGGTTCCTATTTTGATTAATAAAGATGTGTTTGAGCCTCGTTATAATGATTTAAAATTCACAGTCTGTATAAACCGAGGAAACCAGATCTGAAAGAGACATGTGTACCCCAATGTTCATCTCAGCACTGTTTATAATAGCCAGGACATGGAAGCAACCTAGATGCCCATCAGCAGACGAATGGACAAGAAAACTGTGGTACATATACACAATGGAATATTACTCAGCCATTAAAAAGAATTCATTTGAATCAGTTCTAATGAGATGGATAAAACTGGAGCCCATTATACAGAGTGAAGTAAGCCAGAAAGATAAACACCAATACAGTATACTAATGCATATATATGGAATTTAGAAAAATGGTAACAATAACCCTATATGCAAGACAGAAAAAGAGACACAGATGTATAGAACAGACTTTTGGACTCTATGGGAGAAGGCGAGGGTGGGATGATCTGAGAGAACAGCATCGAAACATGTATATTATCAAGTGTGAAACAGATAGCCAGTCCAGGTTGGATGCATGAGACAAGCGCTTGGGGCTGGTGCATTGGGAAGACCCAGAGGGATGGGATGGGGAGGGAGGTGGGAGGGGGGTTCAGGATGGGGAACACATGTAAATCCAAGGCTGATTCATGTCAATGTGTGGCAAAAACCACTACAATATTGTAAAGTAATTAGCCTACAACTAATAAAAATAATTGGGAAAAAATAAAAATAAATAAATAAAATTCACAGTCTGAAATCACAATTACTTTTGTACCAACCTAATACTAACCAATAAACCTGTACCTGTTGCTCCCGAATCCAGACTGTTTTGGTCAAAGGGGTTAAGAAAGAGAATTTGAGCTCAACTGGTCTAGGTATAACATCACAATTGTACATTTTAAAATAATACAGAATGAATAAACAAAACTTTTTAAGAAGAAAAATGCATTCATCAAACACACGAATAGCAGCTGGAGCTAACTGACACTTACGCAGCAAGTTGCTGGAGGGTTTCTCTGTGCCTTTCCTCATGTCGCTTCCAGTCCCGACTGATGAATGATGGAACAGGATCTGCCTTGCTCCAATAAACAGAATATCTTGGATAATGGAACATGCTGCTGAACATGGTTCTAAACCTGGGAACCCTTCTCTAATGTTAAGATAGGAGGGCAAAGGGAAAAAGAACAAAATTATACTAGATATTCTAAAGTATTTTACTACTGCAAACTTTTGAAAGGTACAAAACCGTCTATATGGCATAGGCTATTGGTATATGTATAGACTGTCTCTAGAAGGATACTGAAGAAACTGATGACAAGGAGTGATTATGTGAAGAGAGCTAAGGGTAGCATTTATTTTATACCATATATGCTTTTGCACTACTGGAATTTTTTCAACACAGGCATCTATTACTTTTCTCATTGAAATAATTTAGGTTATCGTGAGTCCTTTATTCACTATTAGTTAGTTAATCCTCACATTGGGCCACAAGTATTAAAACATCTTGTCCCCTGGTAACCATGGCAAAGAAATTTCTGCAGAATATAAAATCCAGTGGAGATTTGGTGATTAGAAAATTTGATCAACACAGTTAGCCAAATTAGATGGTTCAGGTACATTAGGCTGCCTTAGCAGATGAAGAAGACCTACCAGTTTGCTTCGAATCATGGTGGCCTGAATATTCGCCTGGTTGTGGTCTTTCTCACTTGATACAATAAACAATGGGTCTGTGAAATAAACAGTAAAGCAGTATAAGGAAGACCACAAATATAGCACATATCTACTCCCAGGTAGAAAAAAACAGTAAAGAAATGTAATTTCTTAATTGGAAAACAAATTAGAAAATTCAGATATCATCTAACTGCAGCAGCTCATAGCTCTATTACTCACCATCAGTGAGAGTCTGTGAGATGCATGCATTCTCTGTATACTCCAACGTCAGTGAACAGAATCGGAATGCAAAAAGGCGGCTGAACATGTTTTCAAGCACCATAACCTCAACAGGTTCTCTTCTCTCTTATGAACAAACCACCTTCTGGGTCTGGATAGCTCTGGAAATACTCTAAGAGGAAGGACCATGTATACACAGACACTACACCCATTTCCAAGGGAAAGAAACAATAACTTTGGGTACTACCTCCGATCTTCAGTTCACAGGGAAGATACAAACTTAACAGTGTATCACCCAGAGCTGGTAGACAGGGTAAGAAAATGTCATTCGCCAGTAAGAGATAAGTAAGGTCAGCTATTTTTAGAATTCACCCCTTAAAATGGAACTAAGTTATTTCCTCCAAGTTCAAATAAGATTGCCCTGTTGCTGTTAAGTATGTGTTTGTTAGGTATACCTTTAAAGTGACAATGAATATTCATGATTGATTTTACTATCACTTAAAAACCAAACAATTTGACATTAAATTCACAAGCAATCTTCAGATATAGACTTGATTTCTTAAGTAGATATGTCTAGACAAATACCTTGAACTAGTCTAGACATCTTGGAAACGTATGTTTCTCTGCAGAAATTATTAAATTGTTATTGTGATTTAGAATTAAGTCTCTTGAATTTAGATGATTTGTCAATTTCCAGAACTTAATGACTTCCTCAACTAGTTACCCAATTTCAGATGAACAGCACAATCACAACCATGGAGGACTTCCCTGGTGGTCCAGTGGTTGAAAATCCACCTTCCAACACAGGGGACGTGGGTTCAATCCCTGGTCTGGGAACTAAGATCCCACATGCTGTGGGACAACTGGGCCCGTGAACCACAATTAGAGAAGCCCATGAGCTGCAACTACTGAGGCTGTGGACTGCACATATTGAGCCCACATGTTCTAGAGCCTGTGCTTCACAACAAGAGAAACCCGTGCACCACAGCGAAGACCCAGCTAGCCAAAACAAACAAAACAATCACAACCACTGATCCAATGATACCTTTTAAATCACTTAAAACAGAAGACAAGAGAATACAGAAATTTCACTTTGTCTTATACTATTTCCAACATATTAGTGGTGTTGAAGCTATATTCTTCTGTCTAAATAGGTGCATTCATTCTCACTTCAAATTCAGTAGCCTATAATTTGAGGGCATAAAATTCGGCCTCTTCATTCCTAATCAGTCCAATTTCCACCACTTCTCAACTTGATATCACTGGGTCAATGGCTGCAATTGTGCTGGTCATCTGAAATTAATTTAACCCACATTTCCCCTAAGTCTGGATAATAAAACATTCTCCTCTTATTCATATTTCCATAAGGAATGTGAAAATGATATCTATAGAAACATTTTTGAATCTACAGACAACAATGTACTGTATGATTTTTGACTATGTATATTTTATGACTATATATGTAGACTATGCATTTTATAACATAGTCTACAGTTCAGTTCAGTCGCTCAGTCATGTCTGACTCTTTGCGACCCCATGGACTGCAGCAGGCCAAGCCTCCCTTGTCCATCACCAACTCCTGGAGTTTACTCGAACTCATGTCCATTGAGTCGGTGATGCCTTCCAACCATCTTATCCTCTGTCATCCCCTTCTCCTCCCGCCTTCAATCTTTCCCAGAATCGGGGTTCTTTTCAAATGAGTCAGTTCTTCGCATCAGGTGGCCAAAGTATTGGAGTTTCAGCTTCAACATCAGTCCTTCCAATGAATATTCAGGACTGATTTCCTTTAGGATGGACTAGTTGGATCTCCTTGCAGTTCAAAGGACTCTCAAGAGTCTTCTCCAACACCACAGTTCAAAAGCATCAATTCTTTGGCATTCAGCTTTCTTTATAGTCCAACTCCCACATCCATACATGACTACTGGAAAACTATAGCCTTGACTAGACAGACCTTTGTTCTCAAAGTAATGTATCTGCTTTTTAATATGCTGCCTAGGTTGGTCATAACCTTTCTCCCAAGGAGCAGGCATCTTCTAATTTCATGGCTGCAGTCACCATCTGCAGTGATTTTGGAGCCCCAAAAAATAAAGTCTGTCACTGTCTCCATTGCTTCCCCATCTATTTGTCATGAAGTGATGGGACCAGATGCCATGATCTTAGTTTTCTGAATGCTGAGCTTTAAGCCAACTTTTTCACTCTCCTCTTCACTTTCATCAAGAGGCTCTTTAGTTCTTCTTCACTTTCTGCCATAAGGGTGGTGTCATCTGCATATCTGAGGTTATTGATATTTCTCCCAGCAATCTTGATTCCAGCTTGTGCTTCAACCAGCCCAGAGTTTGTCATGATGTACTCTGCATATAAGTCAACTGAGCACAGTCTACAACTGTGCTCAAAATCAGTGCTCAAAGGGCAGTGGAGAAGCCTCTCAGATGCCCAAGCAATAGTGTGCATGCAATGTCACTTCAATCATGTCTGACTCTTTGTGACCCCATGGACTTTAGCCTGCCAGGCTCCTCTGCCCATGGAATTTTCCAGGCAAGAATACTGGAGTGGATGGCTGATTCATGTCAATGTACGGCAGAAACCACTACAATATTGTAATTAGCCTCCAATTAAAATAAATTAATTAATATTTTAAAAAAAGAACACTGGAGTGGGTTGCCATGCTCTCTTCTGGGGAATCTTCCCAACCAAGGAATCAAACTCGCATCTCCTGTGGCACCTGCATTGCAAATGTATTCTTTACCACTGAGCCACGAAGGGAAGCCCCAAGCAATAGCAATCATCAGGTTATCACTACTTATTCCTAGACAGTATTGAGTGCTTCGTGTGCAGTATTCCTTTTAATTCTCAAAAAGTTAATGAGGTAAGCACGAGGTCTCCATTTTATAGAAAAGGAAACCAAGGCTTCAAGAAGTCAGCAACCAAGGGGATCAAGATGGTGGAATAAGAGGACAGAGAGCTCACCTCCCCCCCCAAAACACATCAAAGATACATCTACATGTAGAACAATTCTCAGTGAAAACTAGCTGGAAACTGGCAGCAGGACTTCTATACAAACAACCAAAACTACAATAAATAGCTCCATGTAACAGGGTGCTATGTGTGCTGAGTCGCTTCAGTCATGTCCAACTGTTTGCGACCCTCTGAACTGTAGCCCACAAGGCTCCTCTGTCCATGGGATTCTCCAGGCATGGAGTGGGTTGCCATGCCCTCCTCCAGTGGATCTTCCTGACCAGGGATTAAACCCACATCTCTTTAAGTCTCCTGCATTGGCAGGTGGATTCTTTACCAGTAGCAACATTTGGGAAGCAAGGTAGGATGCAAAAGAAAACAGAAAAAAGGCATCAGGTTGGGACCTGCATCCCTGGGAGGGATCTGAAAGGAAGAGAAGGTCCACATGGGTGGACCTTCACTCTAGGGAGCAAGTGGGTCAAGCCACAATTTTGCCATCCCATTCCTGGGATCCTGCACAGACAAGAAAAAACCCCTCGCCTGCTAGGAAATTCACTGAGACAGACAGACTGAAGAAGGCTGGACTCTACTCATAAGGAGTGTATGTGTGCCGGCTCACTAACAGTCAGGGCCAAGAGAGCGGTTGCCACTTTACCGCACTTCCCAACCCAAACAGGCAAATGCCCTGGCCCCCTCAGTCTACACCACAGCCTAATGTGAGATCTGGGCAGAGACTTGGTCTAGCCATGCAGAGACAGGTCGGAGGGCCTGAGGTGTGATCTGGGGGAGCTGCAGACCCCATTATAAATGGGCACACAGTGGGTGGTGGGTCTAGCTGGGCAGATACTGCCAGCATGCATACCTGGTGGCACCATAAGAGGGTGCAGATACTAGTACGCAGCAGTTTATTTCCCGGCAAGAGCACGCTGGTTCCACCCACTCCACACCACAGCTCAGCACTACATCTGGGGTAGAAAGAGAAGACTGGGAGAAGAGGCATAGAGGCATAGAGGCAGCCCAGATTGCAGGTGACAAAGCAGCTCCTGCAGCCACAACCACCTGACCCCCAGTCACCGCACAACGCAGCCCTGCCCTAGATCTGGGATGAATACAACAGAGAAAGGGACATGAATCTGGGCTGCTTCTGAGCACGGATGTCTACACAGGTGAGACACAGGTATTCTGTGACCTCACAGACCTTACTTGCTTCAGGATTCACTTCCCTTGGGGCAGGGTGCACACTCAAGGGCTACAGAGTGTGATCAAACTCAACCCTTAAGCCTTCTACTCAAACAACTGGGGAGTGCACCCCACTCCCAACAGGATGATGACAGCCATGGAGCTAAGAAGAAGCCCTGCCTCACATCCTGCACAGGCTGCAAACACTACAAGCCAACCACACTTCCCACCCAGGGGATAACAACCAGCCCAGCCTGAGGAAAGACATGGCACGCATCCATACCAAAACCAGTGCGCCCACCAAAGGACTCAAGACACAGTGTCTATGCAGGGACAACCCTACATAAAAACATCCCTTCAAGACCACAGTAGAGAGCGGTTTCTCCTAAATTCAGAGAGATAAGAAAAGGTAAGTAAAATTAAAAAGCATAGAAACTATTTCAAATCAAAAGAACAAAAGAAATGCCCTGAAAGAACAAATAATGAAACAGTCCTCACCAGTCTTTTAGACCTTGAGTTCAAAGAGAAGATAATAAAAATGCTAAAGGAATTAAGAAACATATCAGTAGAAATGCAGATCACTGTAACAAGGAACTATTAATAGAAACTATAAAGGTGAACCAGTCAAAATTAGACAATTCCATTGCTGAGATAAAAACCAATCTAAAAGCAATGAACAGCAGACTAAAGGACACAGA